AGTCATTCAGTTAGTGAAGAGGGCTTGGTAAGATTTTTGCCATGGCCGGTTGAAAGTTTCAAGTTTGTGAACCTTTTTTCAGTTTAACAGAAGCATTCCTTCTTTTTTCCTTTTATTCTTTTCATTGCCGTTGAATTTTAACTTCACAGTTCCTTTCAATTTTGTTATGAGTTACTAGGAATTCTTTTCTCATTTGCACTGGTGCCTGGTTGTGGTGAGCATCAACCCCCAGCTAGGGCTAGAGTTCGAATCTCCGGTCCCCCTTCGACCTCCTTTTACCTAACCATAGAAAAATAATCAGTCTTCCAATACCAAAAGAAAACCCAAGGTTGGCTGTGTTAAGATTCTGTGATCTTGGATTTTTCAAATTTCTTCATAAGGACTTCAAAATACGGCTCCAACAGTTTGTTATTGTCATTCTCCATTGTGAGTTAGCGTTTGGTGATGATGTTAATTTCATGTGTCATGTTTCTGCATTAGTACAACGGTCCTTCATTTCTTTCTTTATTACTTTTGTTTGCTGGCTTAAATGCTAACATTTAACTAATCATTACCAATTTTTGTATCTTCCATAAAGCCATATAAATGCCTCCATCAGATCATTTTGGCACAATTCAAAATATCATTATCACTCATGTGTTTGATTATCTCTATTTATTTATGTACCATGTGTAATTGAATTGCAATTGCGGTACATTGTTATTCTATTCCAAGCATGCATTATATTACAATTACTGAATGATTCCTGACCGTTGATGTATCGGGATTTGAACACATGCATGAGCGACTGACTCTAGCATTGTTGTTTTATTAGGAACATTTAACTAATCCTATTCAAGTTTTTGTTATCTTCCATAATGCCATATAAATGCCTCCATCAGATCATTTTGGCATAACTAAAAATATCATTATCACTCATGTGAGGGTACTAAAGTCAGACAATTTAATCAAGGTTAGCTTTGCTACATATCCCTTTCATGTGTTTGATTCTCCCATCTTTTTTACCATTTGGAATTGAATTGCACATTGTTATTCTTACTATCCTTGGCATGCATTGCATTATAATTACTTAGAACATCTCCAGGAGAGTCTCCAAATTTTAGCCAAATTTTAGCTAAAATAGTTAGAAAATCATTATAGCAAACTACTTAAAAGTAGTTTCCTCCAACAACGTTCTCTACTTTGGCTAATGTATAATATTTTATTATTTCTCTCTCATCCTCTCTAAATTAAAAGTTCATTAAAAAATCAGAAAGTAAGAGGTGAGAGAGGGTTGTGTGCCTAGGGAGAGAGGAGAGGAAGAAATGGAGAACCCTCAATTTCTCTCTCCTCCTCTCCAAATGTAGAGAGCTACCAAACTTAAATAGGGAATTCTCTAAAATAGAGAGTCAAATGGCAAGTCTGCTGGCAGTGCCGGTCCTGAGTTTTCAAAGGCCCAGGGCGAAATTCTAAAGTGTGCCCTACACACATTAATCACTAACACTAACACTAGTATACTTTTTTTAGACAGTATTTATTCCATTGGTTTATCAACTGTTTTATCAACTAAGCATTGGTTTTTTTGAGAAAGTATTTATTCCAAGATATTTTTAGACTTTGAGCAATGTCTTTCATATTCCTAAACAATGAAAACAAATGTCCAGCTATAGATACCAGTGAGTCAAAGAATTTCAAGAATGCAAGTCAAGCCAATATCAAAGAATTTCTTTTAAAACTCTCATCATGGATCCTTTGTTCCAAAATTTCAGATCCATTTCAATATCCTATTCCTAAATTATGGAAAACAATGTGTATTTAATTTTGATTCATCCTACAAGAAAAATCGAAAAAAAGAAAAAAAGGAAATCATCCATGTTATTTTCGCAGAAGAACAATTCCAACAGTAAAGCAAGGTTTCTATTTGAAAAGAAAACCCCAGAATAGTACATCTATTAGTGATTCAAAGAATTTGAATGAATCAATCCAAGAAAACCCCATGATTTAAATGAC